CTGCAGGACTCTGATTGGAGCCATCGAAGTCTCTGATTGTTTTGAAGGATACCTTTACTGAAATTAACAGCTCTCAAGACTGTGTAGGAGACCTCGTCGATGGTGTAGATTAGGCTTTGGGTGCTCTCCTTGATATTCTAATTTTTAAACAACCAGTCTTCCAACTAAAGGTTTTTATGCTGTTTAATTACATGGGTCTTGATAATTGGTTTATCAGCGTCTTTCTCAGGAACGCAGGGGCCCTTAGGCATATTATTGTGATCGACTTTTAAGACTGTTCCTTCTCACAGACCATTCGTAGTCCTCACCATAGTAGTAGTATATTTTTTCTAGTCCATGCAAATATGGGTAAATGATCTGATTTCATACATCATCAATAATCAATATGTAAATGATTGTCTAAGATACTTTTAATGATGAAGTCCAATAAGTCTTAGAATAATAAAAATTTGCTACCAGATACTCCAAATAGCACTTGAATATGATCAATATTTTTATTTTGTAGTTGCCCAAAGGAAAGGATAAATTCAAATACTTGGGGTTTATAAGTCACGAAAAAAGCAACAACAGGAGAAGAAATTACGCAAAGATTAGGACAAACAAGAACAGCAATCCAACAACTTAACTCAGTATGGTGGGATAGACACCTAAATATGAAACAAAAACACAAATTTATAAAACATTAGTGCGAAGTTTTATGACATTTGGGCTGAAAATTGGATTATAAACAAGAAAAACAGCAGTAAGATAGTAGCAACTGAGATGGAAAGCCTGCGAAGGTGCTGCAGAGTAATAAGAACGGATAGAACAAGTAATGACGAAATAAAGTGAAGAACATCAGTAGAAACAGATATACTAACATATATAGAACAAAAAAGACTAGTAGTAGGGACATATAAGAAGAACTAGCAACAGCAGATGGATAAAGAAATAACCAAATGGAGCCCCATAGGAAGGAGAAAAAGAGAAAGACCCCGAAGATCCTGGAGGAACGAAGTAGACGACGTCATAAATAAGAGAAGCCTAAACGATGGAGAATGGGACAACAGAGAGAGATGGTTGCTCCTAGCTTTATTTTTCGATATATTTTATATAAACGAAAACTTATGACCTACTATAGCATATTATGATATATTTTGTAATTTTTTTGTCATTTTTAATGTATACTTGACATTTGAAACCATTATATTGCAACCATTATAACTAAAAAAGTGCAGCCATACTGCACGACATCGTATTCTATTAAAAGATAAGACTTTTATTTATCTTTCTTCTTGGCCGATAACCGCAATTACAGTATGATTTTTATTTCACTTAAATTATATATATATATATATATATATATATATATATATATATATATATATATATATATTATATAATTATATATATATAAATGATAGGTTCAAATTAGCAGCACTGATCTTGCCTCTAGTTTATTACACTAATTAGTTAGGGATATATAACTCATTTGCATGTCAACTCACGTGTACTTGGAAGTGCATTACGCCATGAAGTGAACTAATAAGTCAATTTTAGGGCCGCTTCTTGGGAGGATGTTCGAAGCCAGCTAATCAAATTGAGTAGCCCTTAACGATCGAAGTCCTGAGTGTGTGATAACATTGTCAGTTGCCAGGGAAATATTGTTATAAGTTAGTTTGATGTCCATTGGTGTAATGCACATTCTAAACATAAATTAACATAATTAACATAAATTTTCCTTAGAAATTCTTTACTTTCCATTGAGGCTGTTCTAGATACGAAGATGTTCAGAAAATTTTGAATTTTATAAACTTAATTTTATCTTTATTAATAGAATTTCTGATTTATACAAAAATTTAAATTTTTTGGGACTACCCTCATAACTAAAATCTTTCCTCGTTTCATAAAAGTTTAAAAACTTTCATAAAGTCGTAACGTTTCCCGCTCTCTCGGTCATAGCATCACCGCTACGCAACTTTGGTCCATATTTTGAACTCTTGCGTGAATGAATGAAACTCCTGCAAGTTATATATATTAACACACTATTTCTCTTTTCCATAGTCTTATTCTGGATGCGCCTGTGATCGAAGTCGCCCATCCGGCAACGCCGCAAAGCCCTACAATCGCCTGCCTGCGTTGCGGCCGATGCCATCATTCGCTAACGCTCGCCGGGTGCCGTATCGACTTGACCGCGATGTTGCCACATCAGTCTGGAACGATTTTTATACAGGGGTCTCCTAATACAATGACAGGTCGTAGTTTGTTTCGGGATCGACAAAAATAAAAAAAAATATAAACAACTGCAATCGTCCTCTCTCGTTCATCTTTCGATCTTTTCTTGCATTATTGTTTTTAAAAATATATATTATATATATATATATATATATATATTATATATATATATATATATATTTATATATATTATATATATATATATACTATATATATTTCGCTGCCTAAGAATTACAAGGTTGTATGATACAAAATGTAGAAATTGAGAAAAATTACTTTGAAAATTTTGACCATTAGATTTGGTATACAAGAAAGTATATTTGCTTTTGTTTTAAACATAATAGATGAAAGTCTACTACAAAAGCACATTTAAAAAAATAAATAAAAAAGATTTAATTTTTTTTAAACAGTTTCTGTCTTCATCTGGCATCCATTTGTACATAGATTTCAAAGCTTCACCTTGTTTTGTGCCAAGGTGACTTTAATATCATTTTTGTTTATTGATGTGATTATTTCGTCATTTTCATCAGTATGTCTTCTCGCATTCCGTTGTCTTAAACTGATGATTTTGTATTCACGTTCGTTAAAAGTGGTTCGGAAACCGATGTCATAAAAATATGTAGTAAATTGTAAAGAAACCACCTTTGAAAATGGAACTGCAGTATAATTCAGTTTTGATGAATATGTTGAAAAATACAGAGAATCTGGATCTTTCATTTGAAGTATGGTGTAAGGCTTTCTTGTATTTATTTTCAAAAAGACTCTTAATAACGAAAGTGGAGAAAAGTATTCAGATTTTTTCTGCGTTAAATTGCACTGAACTGAACTGAATCGACCACTTCTATGCAGGAATGTCCAGGTACTGAAAATTTTATTTGAGATTTTTTTCAAGTTCGTATTAGCTTTTAAAATACGTGCAATAGCAAAACTCATAAGTCTACTGTGATTTTGCGGAACGCAACTATCGCTCCACAAAGTCGAATCCTCCAATAACGGATAGTCTTCTACAACCCTTTTCAGGATTTTGTATACAGCACTGGCAATACCATTTCCAGCCCAACCATGCATTGCCTCCGACCAAATCGCGCAATAAACAGTCAGGTTTATGGAAAGCTATTCTGTCATGTTATACACATTTAGCTTACTTTTATAAAAGAAATTTTTGACGTCTCCTTTTGGACATGTCAATACATTTTGTAAGTCAAAACACAGTACAGCGTTACCATTTTCAATATCTGTCTTTTCCTCTTCTCTCATTAAAATTTTTTTTGCAAGTGTTTTCATATTCCTTTTTTTCTTCGTTAAGGGTGTTTTCTTTCTTCAGGCAGTCTATTTCAGCACAGAAGTCACATAGATCTTTTGAAGGTTTATTAAATGAATAATTGAATTCAGTGCAAAATATAAACATTAAGTTTTACTAGAGTCAAGTCTTTCTCCTTTATGAAATCCTCGTACATAATGTACATTTTTGCAGTTAACCAGCTTAGATTTAAGTTGGATTTATAAAAATCCATTAACTGGTAGTTCGAAATCGAATGTTGTACCAAATTCTTGTCCAAAATCCTCTGAGAATATATCTCATTTCAAAGACATTTTGAAATCAGTATCACCTCTTCCATAATCATTTAATGATGATAAACCAAATCCAAAAAATTCTAGAAAACAACACTCAGTAATTATGACTGGCACTCCTATAAAAACGGTTTTAAAAGACACAAAGAAGAACCAAGAAATTAGGGACTTAAAAGCCAAGCATAGGCTAGAAAAAGTTATACAGGGTCCAAAGGTCAACTCACCGGGCAAGGAAGAGTGGAATAAAGGGGTACCCATAAAATCTGCTGCTACCTGGTACACGGATGGCTCAAAAACATCGGAGGGTGTTGGAGCCGGCATAGTAGGGACAAATCAAGGATACATTTCCCGGTAAGTCTATCGAAGGATGTGACAGTTTTTCCAGGCGGAAATAACTGCAATCCATCACTGTGTGGAAGAAATAGAAAGGCAGGAAAGAACGTTCTGTTCAGTTGCCATCTTCACAGATAGTCAGGCAGCGCTTAAGGCACTCAATTCTGTAGAGGTCAATTCTAAGCTAGTATGTGGATTGCGTGTGTGCCCTAAATAAACTAGGAAACCGTAGCAAGGTTACGGTAGCCTGGGTACCGGGCACGAGGGTCATAAGGGCAATGAAAAAGCAGATGAAATGGCCAAACAAGGCTCATCAATGCCATTCATTGGACCGGAACCCTTCTGCGGCGTTGCAAAGTTAGTAACAAGAACGGCTACAAAGAAGTGGGTAGCTCACAAATCTCTGGAATGGTGGAGGAATTCACCAGGACAAAGACAGGCGAAACAGTTCATTAGAGAACATTCGCCAAAATTTACGGCAGACCTAATTAGCAAAGATAGGAAAACAGTCAAAGCCATAGTAGGTCTTCTAACAGGGCACTGTAAGCTGAATAGGCACTTGAAGCTAATGGATTATCAGATGATGACCTGTGCAGATTCTGTCACCTCGAAGAAGAAACGGCAGAGCACATTTTATGTCAGTGTGACAGTCTGGCAAATGTGCGGTTTTTTGCATTAGGAGAAGAAAATCCACCGGCAAACAGCTACATGGAAGGTACAGTCTCGAAGCTACTAGACTTTATAAAGAGGGTCAGGCTAGAGAATGTTGTCTAGGACTAGAGGGCCACAATAGATCTGAAAAGGTCGCAGTGAAATAGGCCGAAAGGCAACCTCTCTTAATCTAATCTAATCTAAAGGTCAACTCAAATCAGAAGCTAAAAATGTTGAAGAGTGAAAAAAGGAAACAATTAAAGCTTGAAAATAAATCCCAAATAAATTTGATCGTATTAAAAGGCAAGGCTACAAATAAAGGAAGAAGGTGTCGAAGACAAATTAATTTTGAAGAATTGTCTTCCGAAGAAGATACAGATGAATCAAAAATATGTGATGACAACGAATTTGATGACAGTAGTGAATTATTTTCTGAAAACACTGAAATGTGTTTGGTTTGTGGTGAGTTTGGTGTTAAAAGCTGAACTATGGTGCAGATGTGTGTTTTATGGACAATGGGCTCACGCTGAGAGCAGTGGATATGGTTGCCCTGAAAACTATCAGTGCAACTTTTGTTCTATGAACTAAGTTCTTTATTGTAGAAACAACTTTTGATTTTTAATATATCTACTTATGTATCTGCTTATCTTGTTTGCGTTCAAGTATTTAATTTTTTCGTATACAGGGATACCATCAGTTCTCATTATTTTCTTATTATTACTACTGTCAGCATTACCCCAAACGTCTGTCGGAATTACCCCGGTGATCGGGGAAATACCGACACTTTGCTAAGGTTATAAGTCTATTACGCCAGGCAGTCCTATCCATTGCCAACCGTTGCCAGTTTGAAGGTTAGGGAAATACTTTTTTTCCACAATGGAAAATTCCATTTATTGTATAGGTATTTTCATAAAAAACCTAACTAATATAGAACAAATCTGAAAATTCAAATCGTCTTAACATGTCGGGATTCCCCCGGTCTACCCTACATTATAATAAAATTTACTATCAAATAATATTTATTTATATTTCATTGTTAAATTTGGTTTAAATTTTACAGGTTTGTCATAAGTAAACAATGTATGCTGTGCTAAAGAATATTCAAAAAAGTTGTAACAGAAAGAGTGAATCGAGTTATAAAAAAGCGTAACATTGATTAAAATGAACTATATTGGATAAATATTAACAGTTTGGTATAACCATTACAAAAGTATATTGCATCAACTGGTCACAAGTAAAATATATACTAAATAATTTAGACAATATCGGTATATCCACGGAAAAATCAGTAAACGTGGCAAATGCGCAATGGTCCGGCGCTCGTATGTAAACCCGAGAGCGGCGCAGCTACGCCGGCATTACGCAACGATCGAGGGCCGCCGCTCCTCGCCGGCAGCCTCTACAAACGCTCCGGTATCCTAGCGACAATACGCGTCGCTATGACGACGCGTCGTTGTTAGAGATGAGCTCGGTTTTGTATGCAAAACATTGTTGTAAAAATTATATTGATGGAATATCAGCACAGTTCTTAAACTGATAGTGTCAAACTTGTTTGCTTATAAAATGTACTGAACTGAAGAAATGTTTCGCTAGAGTTGTTCAAATTTTGAACCTTTACAATATAAAAAGAATTTCACTTTTTGAAACTTATAATTTATTCATATTATTAATATAGAAATCATATACGGCAAAATTTTTGGAATGTGTTATAAAGATAGTCAATCTTTGAATAATACTTCACGTATTTGGTGGTAATATTTCATTTACAATACCCAATCAGTCAAGATTATCTTTGTTTAAACATAGGTCTCCTCCTCTGTTCTCCATCATTCATTTAAGTTGTGGTGTTAGCTCTGTCTTTAGGTGTATCCAGCAAATTTTCTAATTTACAAACTGAAATGAAACAAGCAATTGGACTTTGTAATTCCTCCCAACATGACCCCTTTATAATGTTTTCACCCAACCTGACCGGAAGTCGATATTTGAACTTTTCCTGAAATTTTGCGCCAATTGATAGGATTTCACAACAATGAAAAATGAAAAACTTACAGAAGGCACAAGGAACCTAATGCAAAAAGAAGGGAAATAAATATAAGCACACGGTGAACATCGCAGAGCTAAGGAATTTAAATAAAACCATTTCAAAAGATTTTAAAACTAAAGAAACAACGAATACAATAGAACAAAATAAAAGCCTTTAAAGTTCTAAAACGAAAATTGAAGACAGGAACCAGGAACATTTATAAGCTAAAAAATAGACAAGGATATGCTGTATATGAACAATAAGAAATTATGAAAATTATCGAAGAGTACTATAGAACATTATATCGTCGAGATGCTCACATTCCAGAGGTGGAAATACCAGCCATACAAAATCAAGGATCAGAGGAACTTCCAGATATAACCGAAGAGGAAATCGAATCAGCGTTGAAAGGTATGAAGAACAGCTAATCACCTGGAGAAGATGGCATTGTAAGTGAAATGCTAAAATTAGGAGGCGAATGCGTTATAAAAGCTTTAAAAACCCTTCATAATGCCTGCCTCTTTGAAGGAGTTACACCAGAAAAATGGAATAGTGCTAGACACGTTGCTTATCGTAATCGAGGACGTCCTCCAACATGGTGATAAGATGACATTAAGCGCATTCAGCACAACTGGATTCAGGGTGCTCAAGATATAATGCATGGGAATTATTTATGGGAGGCCTATGTCCAGCAGTGGACTCCAAACGGCTGATGATGATATAGGATTTCACTAATTTTAAAGTATATATTTGTTCTCGTTGCCAAGGCGCGTCAAATAATATATCGCTTGTACTATTTTAGCGAATTGAAAACAGTACTTTTAGTTGCAACTCTGGAACGGGAAGTCCGAGGGAATTTCTCACCTGTAATATCATCTTTAGGTTATAAGATCTCATTCGACATCCATTTGTCATTTTCTGTTCAAATAATGGAGATGCTGTGTTTACAGACGGTCAGACAGACATGAATAATTCAAGATTTTCACATTGTAATGATGTAAAATGGGTGAGAACAAAAAGAAATGTAGAATATCCTTTGAAAATATAGAACGAATTCTGTCAATAAGTGCCTAATTACAGGGAGGAAGAAGATTTTATAGATTAATAAATGTTGGAATATTTTAGGTACATTTTCAGATAGAACATAAATCGAAATACTTTCAAATTCAGTGATATTATTCATAAATTTTTCTTTGCTATCTCAATCTAAACATCGTTCGCATTAACAGTTACTTTTTCCGCTCCTACCTCTACTCTTTGTTGACGTTCGCTATTGCAAAAATGGTCCTGTGGTCGCCGGATATCTCGGCATCTTTGCGCTTCGCTCCCTTCCTAGAATCTTGGCAGGATGCAGGATACTTAAGGTTCTGGATTTTATGCTCTGAAAGATACGGGTCTGGAGATAATGTCACCGAGAGAGAATAAATCGTCTTCGATTGTTTTTAACTGTACCGAGCGAGACGTAATCGAGAAAGGAGTATGTTGCGGTAATGATGCTGAAAAAGTGGCTATTTTTCTAATATTGGTATTTTTAGCAACTTGCCGAATATTTCTACATGTTATAAACTTTTTCTTTATATCATCGCTTCTTTTTAATCCCTTTTTTGTTTTTGTTTAAATACATCCAAAATCATGCTGGGATTTTTTCTCCAATTCGGGCTATCAAGAAATTAAATTACCTTTTATACTAACTTCAGAAGTTATGATTTACCACTCTCCATCCTCAGACGTTATATTTTTATATCTTATTATACAGAATTACGGCTTTAAAAAAAACTGGAAGCCTTCAAGATGTGGTGTTACAGGTACATCTTAAGAATTTCGTGGGTGGACCAGATGATTAATATTGATGTATACGTAGAATGGGAAGGAATAGAATTAGACAATGAAGACACTAGAATGGAGACAATACTTGAAAGATCGATTTGATGATTATAGAACAAAAAAACGCATAGACAAAAATCAGAATATGATTATACTTAGTTATAAAAAGTTAGGCAAACTATCTTAGTTTCTAACTAAAGTTAGGAAGCAAAGAGCAACAAAGCACCTTTAGAAAATCTGATAACAGCCCAACATACTAAACATCTAAGTGAGAAGGCAGATCCACTACAGATGCGATCCACATAGTTTCACAAACAATCGAAAAATGCCACGAGAACAATATAGAACTTCACATCCTCTTCGTAGACTTCAGACAAGCCTTTGACTTCTTCTTCTTCAGATGCAAATCCACTAATGGATGTTAGCGATCACATTTTCCATTAATTCTCTATTTCTTGCAATATGTATCAGAGATTGTATGTCGTTAATCCCTGTCCATTGCCTTATGTTTCGGAGCCAGGACATTTTCTTGCGTCCCATTCCTCTCTTGCCTTCAATTTTACCCTCGATTAAGCCTTTGACTGTGTTGGAAGAAATAAATTATTTAGTGAAATGAAAAATCAAGATATAACAGCAAAATTAATCAGATTAACAAAAATGACCATGGATGGAGCACGAGCTAAAGTAACAACAGAAGAAGGTAGCACAAAATTGCAATATATTGCAATAGAAACAGGAGTGCGACAAGGCAATTCCCTCTCAACCACATTATTCAACATAGCAGTAGAAGGAACAGTCAAGACCAGCAAAATTAAAGGAACTATAGCCCACTTCTCAACACAAATAGTTACATATGCAGATGATGTAATTATTATGGGAAGAGACAAGGAAAGATTAAAAGAAGTAGTAACAATTCTGGCAATTAACGAAGAAAAAACAAAATAGCTACTCTGCTCTAGAAGAGGAGACAACAGGACGAAAGAAATTAAAATAGAAAACTACACTTTTTAAAGAGTCCAACAATTTAAATATTTGGGAGTGATAGTGATTGGCCGAAACAAGAGAAGTGAAAAAGTAACGGAACGAATACTAGCACACAACAAAGCATACTGCAGATAAAGTAGGCTTATGAGGGACAAGAACTTATCCAGACATACCAAAGTGAAAATATACAGAGTTGCAATCATACCAGTAGTTACGTACGCAGCTGAGACAATGTGCCTCACGAAAAAAGATGAAGAAAAATTAAGAATTTTCGAAAGGAAAATCTTCAGGCGGATTATGGGCCCGATAGGAATGGACAACGGAGAAATAAGAAGAAGAATGAACCGTGAACTAAAAGACATAATAAAGGCAGAAGATATAGTTATATTTATTACAGCACAGATGCTGAAATGGCTAGAACACATATAGAGAAGGAAAAACGACTTACTGATTAAGAAGATCACCAGATAGAAACCAGCAACTGAAAAGACCAAGGGGAAGACCCAGAGAGAGATGGTAGGACCAGGACATGAGAGATATCCAAATTCTGAAAGTGAGAAACTGGAAAGAACTATATATCGAAATGAGTGGAAGAAAATTGTAACGAAAGCCAAGTCCTACAACAAACTTA